TACATATATCATTAGATTTAGTAAATTTTGTGATATAATGATTTTCATGTAATAATTTTTGAAGGGGAATAAAGCCATTATAACTTGAGTTGGAATGTACCATATACAAGAATTTCATCAACTCGATTAATCCTAATCGGTGATTAACTGTTAACCGTAAATGATCAATTCTACTAAACAACAAACGCAATTATCATTAGTTCCACGGTCGATTCCACGGCTGATTAAGTACTTGACGTTGATGAAACCAGCCCAAATTTGTTAGATTAATATTCACTATTTAATTTGTGACTATCAAATTTTTTTTACGAATAATACATAAAATTTTGATAAATTTAATTAAATTAACAGAATTTAACTTGGCGCCACAATTGTTGATATCAAATCTTTTATACAGATGATACATATATCATTAGATTTAGTAAATTTTGTGATATAATGATTTTCATGTAATAATTTTTGAAGGGGAATAAAGCCATTATAACTTGGGTTGGAATGTATCATATACAAAGAATTTCATCAAACAGCAAACGCAATTAGTTATCAGTTCCATGGCCGATTAAATAATTGACGTTGGTGAAACCGGCCTAAATGGTGGTTTCCATACGTAAGAACTTACATCGACTTATGATTATTGAATAATGATTATTGAATTTTACGATTTAATTTTTTTAATTGTCTCCTAATCGTCTAAAAGCAAGCATGTAATCAAATATTACATACGGGAAAAATTTAGAGAATATTTATTTAGAGAATTCAGTCAGCACTCAGAAGGTTCGCAATTTAATTTTATTTTAATTCTGGCACTGATACATTATGCCGATTGTAATCTTCACCGAGATTGAATGAGAAACAAAAATATAAAGGATTTTGATGCCATTAACCATCATTCTTAATATGGTGAGTGCCTGAAATATCTTATGATTAGACATCTGAGATTACTTTTCTGTGCTTGTCTCCAATAAAACATTTCTCGCCACAAACACTCCATCGTTGACTATCTTATTCGCTTATTTATTACATATTATTATCTGTGTAAGAAAAACAGCTCACAAAGTATATTTTCTTATTGGCACACACAAGTAAAAGCAATTATAATTTTTCAAAACTACAACTTATCTGATATATTGAAGGCTTCGATCCGCTTTCTTCCAATTAAACTTTGGAATATTTCAGAGATTTCATTGGAAAAACTTTTGACGTCTTTCTCCGGATGGAGAAATATTGAAATGTCTTCAACCTAAGTACTAGGTTATTTGATAGAGGTTTCACTGACTGAGATTTCATCAAAACTGAAGTTACATCGGCCGGTTGTCAGAACACAATTCACGAATACTACGATACATTCATGATCGCTGACGTAATATCTGGTCAGATATTAACGGTCATGAATGTAAAAATAACTAGTAGCGAATTCGATTGGACGCACTCAGTGCGCACTAGTGTAATTAAAGCCGTTGTACACAAAATAACGTAAAGAAATGTTTATAAATAAACATAGAAATCGATTAAATCATGAAATTCTCAATACATTTTATTGTATATGTTACTTAAAAAGAAAATTTTATCATTAAGAACCAGTACGTGTAGGCTTTAATGCTCCTTTTTTAACCAGTTTAATCTAATTTAAGTTACGAACGCTATAGATTTCAACAGTGAATTTTGAAATATAACCTGAATATTATAGCAAAATATACGTTTACTTTCTTTATATATTATAAATTTAATAACTTTCACTTTCCTCTCTCCAATAAGGATAAAGACAAAAACATTATAAAATTCATTTATTATTACAGTAAATAATTGACATTGATTTTATTACTAACAATAAGTATTTAATTTAGTTTTCAATTTTTTAAGATCATTCTAACATGTATTAACTTTGCTTGTAATTTTGCGTTTGTACATTACATCTTAAATACAAAGATAATACATTTAGACTGCATGTATAATAGCATAGCGTGCATTTTATATTTTAAATCATTTAGCATTTTAGCACAAAAGCAACAATGTTATACATATCATACACTAGATCGGTGCAATGGCATCAATTACCATATTTGATATACTTTTATGTATATTTTTATTTATTATATTTTTCGAGTATTTCTTGTCTATTTTTACAGGTTTATCACAACGCATGTCCTCGCAAATGCCGAAAAGTGCGTTTGATGCCTTTGAGCTGAGACGATCAACAATTTTAGCAGAAAAGAGAAGAACACAGACTCGGAAATCATATGAAATTTATGACAATGCTGATAATTTGAGATCTTCAAATGATCAGACTTTTCCACCAGGACAATCGAGTTCCCATCAATTTCATGATAATTCGGGATTTAAGCGGGATGAGAATATATGAGATATATGAAACAATTAATTTATTTTGAAATATAATGCATAAAAAAAATTAATATAATTTCTTTCTTCTGATATTGCAATCCAATAGAGATGCACTAATGTAGTAAAAAGTCAATAGCCTTAAACTTACATTAGTATATCTGTAAATTAAATAAAAAATAAATAACAATTTGGTAAAATCGTTGTAGCGATTGTAGATTGTTCCTTCTTTGCATATTTTAAAAATTAACTTCAGTACACTCTTTTTTTATGTATGGCGCTTTTCCCTCACTAATCGTTCTTCTAATTCAGAACGTTGCGTTTTGCATTTTCTTTTATATATTGATGAAGAGAATTCTCAAATGATAATTGGAAAAGATTTAGGTCTAAATAGATCAAAAGGATTTCAAGTTTAAGTGTTTAATAATCTTCGATGAAGTTCTTTTTCTTCTTTTACGGCGCAACGGACCTAAAGAGGTCTTTAGCCTCACTTTTCAGAGAAATCGTTTCCAGGTCTCACAGTTCTCGGATTTAGTCCTCCAAGTTTTGATCAAGTTAATGCCTTTTTTTACGTCCGCGAGATCCGGATGATTTCCCGCTTTTAGGGCTTAAAGGAATAACGATACGACCAGTAGCGATCTCGTCTCGATTGACGGATTCGTCAATTTGTTTTTGAGCCTCAAGAAAAAACATGAGATCCCGATTCTGCTCTTTTAAATCAGTGATCTCTGCTTCTTTGGCGGACAGTTCGTCTTGTAATGTCTTATATTTTGTTTGCCACGAAGTCTGATTCAATTGTAGAGCCTCTCGCAGATCTTTTTCTTCTGTTAATTCCACTTGTATTTGTGCCAATTTATTGGTAGAATGTTGTAGACGCTTGTCCAGCGTTTGCTTGTCGCTATTGAACGTCGCGAATTGTTTCTGATAAAATGAAGAAATTTTCTTTATAGCATAATTAAAAGGAGTAAAATTAAGAAAAATAAAGAAGGAAAAATGAAAGGAAAGAAAAGAAAGAGGAATAAGGATAGGATAAAAGAAAAAGAAGGGGCGGGAGAGGGGAAAGAAAGGAAGACAAGGTAATATACATTTTACTACTATTTTTAAGAATTATGTACCTTAAGCTGTGAATTTTCCTCAAGTATTTGTTCCAGTTTATCTCTCAGCTCGGTAAGCTCTGCTATGGAGCGTTGTTCTGAACGATTGAGCCTTTCTTCATAGTATTGTCGTTGCGTTTCCAACTGTGACGTTAGCAAATACGTGAACTCTAACTGTACTGAATCTACCTTATCCTCCACAGCGGCACCCTCACTCTTGGTTGTTGAGCAGCCACCTTCTACCATTTTACCATCTTTGTCCTGTAATAACCGATGCACAAAATTGTCGCCTACGTAATCCCAGACGCGATTGTTGCCTAACTGCATCGCGTAGCAATGGTGTGTATCCCGGTAGTGTTCAAATGCATGACCTTGATGATAACGTGAGCAGCCTATGTGACCACAGATCAAGCAAATCCATAAAGCATCATTGCTGGCATCTGCAACTAAAGAGATTCGTGCAAAGCTTATTAAAGGAGCCTCTAACATGACAGAAAAGATTTCAATCATTTCTAACGGAACCATGTCTTTTTCTGAAAGAATGTGAAATGTGCCAGATATTATACAATGTGAAATTTAATCAAACAATTTCAAGTAATTTCTTAAAATTCTTTTTCAAAAATTGTATATCTTATTAAGTTATATTGTATATCTTATTAAATTAGATTCAAGTTTAAACAACTCGAAGCAATTAGGTAAATATTTACCACATTCCATGCAACGACTATCTGCCAGTGGCTCTGGTGTTTGGGCGTATCGACAGATTGGACAGGATGTGTCACCCCATTTAACGAGGCAGCTGGAGTGGAAAGTATGATTGCACAATATTGTCAGGATTCCATCCACACTCTCATCCATTCTTTCAAGACAAACGGGACACGATGGCAATTCTGTGTGTCCACTCAGGGGCATTCCATTGTTCCCTATTTCGACTCGGGATACAAATACCATGTGGCAAACCACATCTGGTTCTAGAGAGTTGTAAGGAGCACCATTGAAGGTTTCGTAGAACTCGCTTGCTGCGCTCTGAAATGCATAAAATAAAAGCTTGTCTTATTTTGGATAACATATTTTTAATTAATTTTATGCGCTGAACATTACTTTCTTAGGTTAGAAATTTAATGAATATTATGTAAATTATGAACATTACGTAAATTTTATATATAAAATAGGATAATTGTTCTAATTTATCAAAACTGAAAGTATGTTGTATTACTTCAAACATCTGTTCGCTCACCGATGATCTAAAGGTGATCAAAGCCATATACTGATTTGGACTGCCGTCTCTGAGGATTCTAAAGTATTGTATGTCTTGATGACAAGCTGCTGTGAAAGTTAAAAGATCGTGACAAGTCATTGTTGCTGGTACCGACAAAATACAGATAGTATGACTGCGATCCGCGGCACAATGCATTTCAGTCAATTCACTGTAATCAAAAGATAAAATCGTGAATAATTAATATTGTATTTTCAAGTTGTTAATCGTATACAAAATTCCCACTTGATTCAGAATCCACTTTTTCTTAGTGGAAATCAAGAGAAATTATGCATTATATTAACCGTTATTGCAGTCTTCCAATGTTTAGCAGCATATATTTAACAAAGTTTCAATTGAGAATTCTTACATAAATAATGTGACTGACATTAGCTGAAGAATATGATTTTAATAATTGAATCAGTTTTCTTTTCCAATGTTTATACACTACCGCTCAAAAGTTTCAGTGCGTTTTATATTTTCACTGATAATTTTATTTTTCACACATAAAATATGGAATTGTTGTGGAACAAATATAGAATAATATGATATACTCTCTTTTCAATCATGAAAATACTCAATAAAGTCGTGAATTGCTGAAAAATAAACAGAAATTACAAGTAAATTTTTCAAATAAACAAATATGATAGAGGTGTAAACAAATTGGAAAAAAATATCTATTTCAAATTTTGTACTGGACATGGATAAATATTTAAATGGTATATAAAGAATATTCTCACAGATATTAAGCATTGAGTTACATACAAGACTTTTTGATTAAGATACTTGAAAAACTTATTGATAGAATATTAAGAATTTGACTTTTGTTATTAAAGCCTAAGAAGATTAAACTTTGAGAAGTAACAAGTCTAAAAAAGAATATGTTCTATTTGTCAGTTTTAGTGAGTATGTAATATAACAAATTAGAAAACACAATACAAATGCAAACTGTAATGCAAACTGTATACATATTTTGTTTTTTATATTACAAAATTTCCATAAATGGAAAGTGACTGAAACTTTTGAGCAGTAGTGTAATTAAAAGATGATTGATGCTATACAAATCATATAATTTGGAATGACTCAAAGCAAAATGGAAGTGACTTACTCCTCCTTAAAGAGATGGAGGATGCCTTTCGTAACTTCAACAAAGGGGTTTCCGGAGATAAAGCTTATTTGATCAGATGAGGTGCAAACGGCAGCACCAGTTATCTCTGCCGGAGTAGAACTCGCGATATGATTAGAATTTACAAATGATGTCTCTTCGGAATTAGTTCTTGAGAACGAATGAGATTTGCTTGTGCTTTGGTTTGATAATAATGGAGATGTAGTCTCTGCCTTGTTTGTATAAGTCTCAACATTGATATCCCTTAGTTCTCTGCAACCTCTCATTTTCTTTGAAGCCATCGTACCTATGACATTTGTTACTTATAATTATCACATCTGGTCAATTATTTTATCGTTATCGATTTATTAGAAGACCATGAAAGAAATTAGAGTCGCCTTTTACAAAAATATTCTATATAGAGTAATCATATCAATACACAGAAACATTAAAAATTATTTATATTGATAATTGTAATAAATATTACATTCGAAAACGAAACGTTTATGCTTACTGGTGGTCTCTTCTAACTCCAAATCACAAATCTCAATGCGAATAACGCACAAAGACACTAAAACAGCTGATGAATTCATACCACATAATTAAATTACGACATATAATAAACATTGCTTTTTATTTATTAAGTCGCCATATCAGCTCGATATATATCAGATTTTACAAATTAGAGCTTTTAATCCTACGACCGCCCTCGATTTTTAATAAACACAGCGAAAATTGCCGGTCACAATTCACCTAAGGATTTGTGATTTTTTTTCTTGCAGTTCGCCGGATAGCGAATTACCGTGCCTTCAACGGTCAACCTATCCTATTTAGGTTATATACAGTGTTGCCAGTATTTTAAAAAATAATGTCGCCTAATTCATGGCTCGTAGTAGAGTCCTAGATTTAGGCCCTGCGCACAATGGAGGAAATATTAGGAACAGGAATAGATATTAAGATTTCAACCTATCAGAAACCATGTATTCCGGTATAACTGGTAGGTTAAAATCTTAATATCTATTCCTGTTCCTAATATTTCCTCTATTGTGCGCAAGGCCTTATCAGAGAGGCGCAACCGGCTTAAGTCAGTATGACAAAGGTACTAGGGAGTTCTTGCGCCG